TGAGTCTGTCCAGATAGCCTCTCCATGCCATATGCCCATTTGAAAATCAGACTTGACTCCTAGTAGAGAGGAAGTTTTGTTAATTTTTCCAGCCTTCCATGATACATTTCTATTTTTATGTATAATAAAAAGATCAACGTTTACTCAATCCTCCATCCAGGTGTTCCTATCACAATTATCCCCAAGTTGATAGTCGTTGAATCAGGGACTCAAAGCCAAACCTCAGAACCAAGATTATTTTGTCATCTTTATTTCATAACTACCTGTTCACGAACAAATATTACTGATGTGTTCAAACCCACCTAGAACATGCATGATGACATTTCTTCAGCTACACTGCAATTCAAACAAAACTACTCTCTCACCTGGTTTAGACACAATGTCTATCACTAATCTTGATTGTCAACTTGAATGTGTGGAGAGATGTCTACAAAGTTGATGAAGCACACTTCTGGGTGTGTATGTGAAGTTGTTTCTAAAATAAGGTTGGGATGAGAGCCAGCAATCTGGGTGGGAAAGCTCTGCCAGGAATTACAAGCAACACTACCAAGTAGACTGGAACTCTATGTGAGACAAAAAAAGCAAAAGAAATAGGGAAAACCATATGGGTGTGCAGACTCCACCCTTTTTGAGAGGGGATTGTTTGCTTTCTAATACCACAACCAAAAGTAAGTTGGAGGAGGAAAGGGTTTATTTCTTCTTACAACTTCCAGGTCCTAGTCTGTCACTAAGGGAAGTCAGAGCAGGAACTGGAGCAGAGACTAAGAAGGAACACTGCTTATGGGCTTGTTCCCCATGGCTTTTTTTCTGCATTCCAAATGCAGTTCCCCTCCCCCTCTCTTCCCAATTCCTACCCCCACCTCCTCTCTAATCCCTCCCCCATTCACTCCTCCTCTGTTTCTTTTCAGAAAGGGGTAGATATTCCATCAACAAAGCGTGGCATATCAAGTTGTGGTAAGACTAAGTAACTCCCCTTGTATTAAGGTTGGGCTAGGTGACTCAGCATGAAGAAAAGGGTCCAAAAGTCAGCAAAAGAGTTAGAGACAGCCCCTGCTCCCACTGCTAGGAGTCCCAAAAGAAGGCCAACCTACACAACTCGCATATATGTAGAAGGTCTAGGTCAGTCACATGCAGGCTTCCTGGTTGTCAATTCACTCTCTGTGAGCTCCTATGAGCCAAGGTTAGTTGATTCTGTGGGTTTTCTTGTGATATCCTTGGTCCAACTGACTCCTATAATCCTTCCTCCCTCTCTTCCTCAGGATTCTCTGAGTTCAGCCCTAATGTTTGACTATGGGTCTGTGCAGCTGTCTCCATCAGTTGCTAAATGAAACCTCTCTGATGATTATTGGACTTGGGATCAATCTATGAGTATAGCAGAATATAGTTAGGCAGCATTACATTGACATTTTTTCTCCAGTCATGTTTGATTCTATCCTAGGTTTCTGGGGGCATCCAGCCTCTGGGTCCTGGCACTGTAGGCAGTGTCAAGGGTAGACTCACTCCCATGGCATGGGTCTCATACTGTACCAGGCCAGCCATATAACCTTCCATCTACAGTCTGTTCAGCCTATATGATGTACTGGATTAAGGGTGACACAGAGACTGTGGAAGTGGTCAGCCTGATTGTTTATACAACTCCCCATCTGTCCATGAGTGGTACTGACCACAGTTGGCTGGATCTTACCACATCTAACATTCAACAAGAAAGTGTTCCCACATACTTGCCCAGAGGCCCATCTGATGAAGGCATTTTATCAACTGGAGTGGTTCTGTGTTCCCAAGTGAACCTAGCTTCTGTCAGGTTCACAGAAAATTACCCAGCACAGAGATATCTATCTATCTATCTATCTATCTATCTATCTATCTATCTATCTATCTATCTATCTATCTATCACTTTTTATTTATTTTATTGCTGCCGCTGCTGCTTTCATAACCTGTGGGCATTTACTCCAGGATTTTCAGTCTTTTAGTTCCAATTTATACCTGGGGAACTTTCAATTCTTTAGCATTACAAAGTTGCTTCATTAGTTTCTCTAGACCTTAGGCTCCCAGATCTTTGAGCTGTGCTGCTATTGTTCTCCTTAGATCTCTAGCCTGAAGTTGGCCATTGCAGTGATACCCAACCTCTAACCATATAAGCAAAGCTAACAAATCCACTCTATAAGTACATGTTCTATCAGTTCTGCTTGATTTCTTTTTTTGTTTTTTCTTTCTTTCTTTATTTTTTTATTGAGAAAAGGAGAAAAAAAATAAAAACAAGTTTCCACCTCCTCCCAGCCTCCCATTTCCCTCCCCCTCCTCCCACCCTTCTCCCCCTCCTCCCTCCCTTCTCCCACTCCCCCCACTCCTTTCCCCCTCCCTCTCCAGTCCAAAGAGCAGTCAGGGTTTTCTGCCCTGTGGTAAGTCCTAGGTCCTCCCCCCTCCGTCCATATCTAGGAAGGTGAACATCCAAACTGGCTAGTCTCCCACCAAGCCAGCACATTAAGCAGGATCAAAACCCCGTGCCATTGTCCTTTGCGTCTCATCAGCCCTCATTGTTCGCCATGTTCAGAGAGTCCAGTTTTAACCCATGCTTTTTCAGTCACAGTCCAGCTGGCCTCTGTGAGCTCCCAATAGATCAGCTCCACTGTCTCAGTGGGTGGGTGCACCCCTTGTGGTCCCGACTTCTTTGCTCATGTTCTCCCTCCTTCTGCTCCTCATTGGGACCTTGGGAGCTCAGTCCAGTGCTCCAGTGTGGGTCTCTGTCTCTATCTCCATCCATCACCAGATGAAGGTTCTATGATGATATGCAAGATATTCGTCAGTATTGCTGTAGGCTAGGGTCATTTCCGGTTCCCTATCCTCAGCTGCCCCAGGAACTAACTGGGGACCTCGGCTTGGGCACCTGGGTGCCCCTCTAGGGTCAGGTCTCTTGCCAACCCTAAAGTGGCTCCCTTAACTAAGAATTGTGGTTCCGTGCTCCCCTGTCCAACCTTCCTTTATCCCAATCCTCCTGTTTCCCCAAGGCCCCCCCTCCTTCCCTTCTAACCTTTCTCTCCCCCGCAACAGACAAAGATCTGATCTCCAAAATATATGGAGAACTCAAGAAACTAGACTTTAAAATGCTAGTTAACCCAATTAAAAAATGGGGCACTGAACTGAACAGAGAATTCTCAACAGAAGAAGTTCAAATGGCCAAAAGACACTTAAGGTCGTGCTCAACTTCCTTAGCAATCAGGGAAATGCAAATCAAAACAACTTTGAGATATCATCTTACACCTGTCAGAATGGCTAAAATAAAAAACACCAAGGATAGCCTTTGCTGGAGAGGCTGTGGAGGAAGGGGTACCCTCATCCATTGCTGGTGGGAATGCAATCTTGTGCAACCACTGTGGAAGTCAGTGTTTCGATTTCTCAGGAAATTCGGGATCAACCTACCCCTGGACCCAGCCATACCACTCTTGGGAATATACCCAAGAGATGCCCTATCATATGACAAAAGCATTTGTTCAACTATGTTCATAGCAATATTATTTGTAATAGCCAGAACCTGGAAACAACCTAGATGCCCTTCAATGGAAGAATGGATGAAGAAAGTATGGAATATATACACATTAGAGTACTACGCTGCGGTAAAAAAACAATGACTTCTCGAATTTTGCATGCAAATGGATGGAAATAGAAAACACTATCCTGAGTGAGGTATCCCAGACCCAAAAAGATGAACATGGGATGTACTCACTCATAATTGGTTTCTAGCCATAAATAAGGGTCACGGAGTCTACAATAGGTGAATCTAAAGAAGCTAAGTAAGAAGGTGAACCCAAGGAAAAACATATAACTATACTCTTGGCAAAGGGAAGTAGACAAAATTGCCGGGGAGAAAATTGGGATCTTGGGGGTGGGGTGGGATGGGGGTAAGGGGAGTTCTGCTTGATTTCTAACTGGTTACCCACATTCAATACTCCCCCATGTTTCTATATTACTATATTATTCAAAGCAGCCTCAGTCATGCAGCGGTTATTTTTTCTTTTCAAAACCACATATATGGGTACCTCTGGAGAACCTCAGGTATTTTAACCCTTCCATGAAGGTCATAGAGATTTTGTGGTATCAGGTCACTTCAAGGGAAGAAATGTGTCATTTGGGAAATGACAGAAATAGAAGTATTATGAAGGAATTGTGTATGCACCTACTGGTGACATTGCAGTTATGAGGAAGCCAGGTTAAGGCTCACTCAATTCTATTAGCTCACTCAATTCCATTAGCTCTGCAGTCCAGGGTATTCGGATCAGAAGTTCTTAGACATTCTCTCTCTCTCTCTCTCTCTCTCTCTCTCATCAAGAAACTTAATATTTGTAATACATTACTCTATTAAAAGTCTTCAGATGAAGTTGAAGATCCCCATTTTTTAGTTTCAGGTAGTGATAGAGATAAAAACTGAGGGGCTCAGGGCAATAAACAATCTATCACTGAATAATAATACCTAACATAATAGTCTAACATCCTGATTTTCCTTTTTATTTATTCTTCTTTCATATATCCCAACTGCAGCCCCCTCTCCACTTCTCCCAGTTTCCCCCACCTCCCCTTTCCCCAAGATCCCCTGCTTATTTTAATCCCTGCCCCATCTCAGTTCCTCTGTGAGCTCAGATGCACTGGGTACTTACACTACTAAGCCCAGATACCAGGGTTTCAGGCCACACACCCTGTCACACCCCATCATACCCTATCTCCTATGCCCTTGGATCATCTTTCCCCTCCACCCTTAGGCCAGGGGAGTATGAAGAGAATTCTGGATAGACATTTGAGGCCTCAAATGGATATGCCCCTATTCTCTTAAAGTAATGGCAAGTAAACATAAATAAACTGAACACTTTAATTTGACTGAGATAAAATAATTTTATTTAAAACAATGGTAATAGGAAAAGGGAAAATGAGTGAACTTGCTGGAAGGGCAATATGGATGTTCAGTCTAGTAACCTGGAGAAGAATTCAGGGTTATGAAGAAAGTTCCAGCTCAGTTCTCTTTGTTGATGTCAGTCAGGGTAAGTTTCTCAAATAGGTACTCAGCCATGCCATCTTCTGGAGACTCTTTCTGGTGCAGGTTGGTCACGTAGCTGCTCATCTCCTTGAGGACTTCAACTTGCTTGCTCAAAAAATGGTTCTGCAGGAAGGCACAAAGATGGGCATCGCTTTTGCTAGTGGCTAGCCGGTGCAGGGCCACAAGGCTTTGATTGAGGGTCAACTCCAGCTGAAAAGCATTCTCCATGGCTGCAAGGCCTCCAAGCCAATCATCACGCTCTGGCTTGCTGATAGTGCAGAAAGAGATGCGACCACCACGCTGATTTTGTAGTGCCAGGAACATCTCAGCATGCGCAGTACACTCATGTGACTTGTTCAGAAAGAAGCTCGCGAAGTTCTCCAGAGCCACATCTTTACGGTCAAAGAAGAAGCCCATGGACAGATAGACGTAGGAGGCATAGAGCTGCAGCTGGACATGGCTGTTGATAGCGGCCTCGCAGTCGCGGTGGTAGTTCTGTCCCACATGAGATGGTGGAGAGACCGTTGGTGGTATCACAAACATCGATGGATAGGCAGCCCTGACTCCTGAGAAGCAGAGTGGACAGCGACGGCGTTGGCGGCACCGAGACCCTCGCAGAAAACCCATGGTGGGCAATAGATAACCCACCAGCTTGGTCCGCCGGCTGAACTAGTAGTAGTGCAAGCACAGAATGTGTTTAATGGAGGCTCAGATCCATTAAAAGGCATTAGAACATGCGTTCTAAGTTCTATAGCAAACCGTGTGCCTGCATTGATTATCTGACTTATACAGTATTTTGAAAAGTTATTAAGAAAGGACAAATATTTTAATACATCACCCAATTTCTTTAAGCAAGCTATGTGACTATTGTTTAAATGTGATTGTTTCGTTAATGCAGTGCTTTTCATGATTCCAGCAGTTATGTTTAGTATTATGAAGTTTTATTTCAGTGACAGCTCTCCTCAGTGGCTTCAATGTGCATGCAAATGGCATCCTTCAGTGAGGAGTCACAAGCTAAGTCCAGGGTGGTATACAATCATCACTGAATTCAGGGGTCAGAACCTGGTATGCAATCACTGAATTCCATCAACTATGTGCGTGACTTTTCTATCTAGCGTCTCTGGACATTTTAGTTTTGCAATAGCATTGGCAGCATCCAGGGACCATCTCTGTTTCTTCCATTACATGCTTGTTCCCCCAGAATTAGCTACATTCATATATCAAGATTGCCCCTTTTTACTTTGTTAATGCAGTTTTTTCCCTGTGTGCTGCAGTGTCAGAGTGTTCTCTGGGAATATACAGTATGACGCTATCAGGTGGAATGAGGACTACTCCACTTGCCAAATTTGGAACCTACCTAACACTTTGCTTAAGAACGTGCTATATTTTGGCTTTTATTTGATTCACGGTTATTGTATTGTAGTTTCAGAAAATGAAAATGGTACATACTAGTGCAATTCATTGCCCTCATTACATAGGAATGGGAAACTACACAGGGATAGAAAGCTACACAGGTAGAGAAACTACACTGGCATGGGAAACTACACAGGGTTTCCTGGGAAAAGGTCAATATAAAGATGAGGAAGACAGAGTCTTGTGTTGGAGAATAAGAGGCACTTATTAATCTCAAAGTCATTCCAGAAATCTTGGTTATTGTTTGATTTCATTGCCACTTAGCTTTCTACTGAGGCATTTTTCACTCTCTAAATTAATCAATCCAAAACATACTATGTTTTTGTCCTTTAAAGATTCCCAGCATTTTTCTGCATTGCTACCTGTCCCTTCTCATGTTTGTATTGTAGTAAGTATGTCTTATGTAACTAGTCTACTGTCATGTCTCATGTGTCCTTTAAAAATTCTCTTGTAAACCTGGCAGTGGTGGTGCACGCCTTTAATCCCAGCACTCCGGAGACAGAGGCAGACAGATCTCTGTGTGTTCGAGACCAGCCTGGTCTACAAGAGCTAGTTCCAGGACAGCCAGAGCTATAGAGAAACCTTGTCTCAAAAACACCAAAAAAATCTCTCATAAATACAATTATTTCTTGCCTAGTTTTCATATGATTCAAATGTCAGCATGACTCCTTTATTCAAGCAACCATTAGACTACTATATGTTATAATCGGGAAGAAAAGAATATAAAAAGAAAAATAATAGTAATAATAGTAGTGATAAGCATAATCAGTGATCTAAGTGGGGAATATTTAGAAAAATGTTTTAGTTTAGAGAATTTCATGTGTAAGTACTTTTATATATCCTATCTTCTCTTCATCTCTTAGACTCTTCCCATGACCCCCTAAAATTCATAACCTGTTGTTCTTCAATTATTATTGTTACACACACACACACACACACACACACACACACACACAGTCATAAATACAACCTGCAAAGTCCATTTAGTGCTGCTCATATGTGTATGTGTTTAGGGCTGACTGCTTGGGATTGAATAACTGATTGGGGGTTCATACCTGAGAAAAACTGATATGATATTCTCTCTCTCTCTCTCTCTCTCTCTCTCTCTCTCTCTCTCTCTCTCTCTCTCTCTCTCTCTTCAGTCATTAATTGTCTATAGCTCTTCATATAGGTGTGTGATGTTGGTGATATTGTGAAACTTCCCCCTTCCACATTGGCACGTCAACTGGTGTTGCTATAGTTAGGTCTTATTTAGGCAACCATATTGTTGAACTTTCAGGGATGCAGTTTTTCTGTCACGTACAAAAGACACTATATTATAGCAGACATTCTGATTTAACACATGCTTACAGAATCACATTTTTTTCAAATGCACATGGATTCAAAGATGAACCTTATTTGAATTATATACAAACATAACTTTAATTTTATAACATATGTCCTCTGGCCTCAATGGAATTAAGTCAGAAATCATGAAAAACTATCTGATTTGGGCATGGAGGCTCACACCTGTGTTCCTAGCACTCAGAACGCTAAGAGACTTCCAGTGGTGTAAGTTTAAAGGCAGTCTTGACTCCTTGATGAGTTCAGTCCAACAGACACTATAGTGTGAAACCCTGTCTCAAGACAAAAACAAACCACCAAAGAGATATCTGAAAAACTAGAAGTGTTTGATGACCAATACTAAACATTTCAACAATTCTCATGTCATTAGGATCTCAGTTCCAACTCCTGTCACTTCTCTGGTCCTTGTGATCGCCAGTGACAGTATTGAGGTGAGATCCACGGAGTGTCATTAGTGTAGAAGACAGGTCATACTGATTTTACAGAGTGGTGCATGCTCAAATGATAAGAGTGGGCAATAATCAAAGAGATCACTGCGATGATCTAATTTTTAGGCAGTCATTACAGTATTTTCTTTTTTTAAATTAATGTTTAGAATAAAATGCACTACTATGGTTTTCATTTTGCCATTTTTATTACACACTTTGTTCTTATTGATCCCCCTCCTCTGCCCTTCCTTCTACCATGCTTACGTCCAACAAGGGGCTAATTCTAAAATATTTAAGGAATATCAAATAATTAAATAGCAGAAAGTCAATAAGCAAGCTAATGAACTGAATACACAGCTCTGAAAAGAAGCATAAATGCTCACTAAATACTTGTAAGGTCTTCAACACTTTTAGCCACCAGAGAAATACAAATTAATTTTTTTATATTATTTTGTAAGGTATCTCCAAAATAAATGGCTTTTCTGGAGGAACTTTGTCCTGCCCAGGTGACTGGCAAGGCTATTTAGATTGATTCTCTCTAAAAAGGATGATAGTGTGCCTTTGTTCTTTATCTGACACTCTTCCGTCACATATATATACATATATAGTAATCATATAAACTTTAAGGCTCCTGGAGCCAGTTGGAGTTAATATACTAATGACTTTCCGAGCAGTTTTTTATGTCATGCTTTCTCCTGGGACATGAGACATAATTTTGCATCTATTCTTCTGATCAGTAATTAAAACCCTTCTGTTCTTGTCATTGATTTCATGCAACATTTATTATAAAGGAAAGGTATCCAGTATTCTCCAAGCCTGTTAATATCTGTCCTACCGGGATTTTGTCCACTTCATACAAACTAGAGCTGTCTGAGAAGAGGGAACCTTGAATGAAAAAGTGCCTCTATAAGATTGGCCTGTGGGCAAGCCTGTGGGGCATTTCCATGGTTGGGCCTTGATGTGGGAGGGCCCAGCCCACTGTGGGTGGTACCACCACTGGGAAAGTGGGCCTGGATTGTATAAGAAAGCAAACTGAGCAAACTAAATGGAAAGCAAGCCAGTAAGCAGCACTCTTTCATGCTTTCTGCTTCAGCTCCTGCCCCCATGTTCCTGGCCATGAATGTGAGGGCAATCTGGCTGCTCCATCTGTCACCCCATTGATCGCCAGGGTTGGGTTCCTGGCCTGACTTCCCTGGACTATAAACTACAAAATTGTCTTTCATCATCATAGCAATAGAAAGCAAACTAAGACAGCATTGGTACTAGAATCATGGGGCATTTCTCTGAAGACTGGACCATGCAGTTTGTGGACCAGGGAGGACTGTGGGATTGTATGGACCTTTGGACTGGAATAAAAAACATTGAGTGTTCTGATCTTAATCTTTTGTGAGAATTTGGAGATAATTCTGAAAGCAGTAAAAAATGACAGGTGCCTGGACTGTGAAGTTTCAGAGGGAAGTTTGAGGGTCCCTTAAAGACTGTACCTATTGGTGCTATTCATGTACTATTTTTAGCTAAGAACCTGTGGTTCTTGTCAGTAGGCTCTGAAGAACTGGCTTAGTTTAACAAGAGACTAAGACACTAAAAATGCAATTTCCTTTTCTGGGAAAGAGTATTGGTCATCAAGGGCTAATAAATCAGCTGCAATTGAGAACAGACCAAAATAATTGAGCTGAGCTCTTCTTAGAATATTTTCTCAAGGTCATCATACAAAAGCTGTGGTCCAGAGGGAGCCAAGGCGACATCACTTGCTGCAGCCAAAATTGGTAAGTCTCCCACTTTTGGTACTAGTCTTATAGGAATGGATAAAACATGGGGAGAAGTTAAGGCTTGGCACCATGAGACCCCAGAAGATGCCATTAGTTAAAGTTATAGATTCAGTTGCAAGAGAAACCCAGAGGATTGTGAGCGAGCTCCAAACATTAAACCCTGAGCTTTTGATTTTACTTTGATTTGATTGTTACTATACCCAGATTCTTTCCTCTTGAAATAAAAAAATATTCAATTTACTGTAGTAATAAGGGCGGCGGGGCTGCGTCCCCAGCACCCCGGCTGCCTGGCTAGCTTATGCTCCGAAATAACAACACACAAACTGTATTCATTTAATCACTGCTTGGCCCTTTAGCCCTAGCCCTTACTGGCTAATTCTGATATCCCGATCAACCCATCTCTAATAATCTGTGAGCACCGGTCTTAGTGAGCACCGGTCTTACAGGGAAGATTCTAGCCTAAGTCCATCCTGGGTCGGAGCTTCATCACGTGCATCTTCCCTGGAGCAGGGAGCATGGCGTCTCTCTGAGGCATCTGCTCCCGAGAGGAGAGCTGTGGAGTCTGAGCTCACTTCCTCTTCCTCCCAGCGTTCTGTTCTGTTTACTCCTCCCACCTATCTTCTAGCCAATGAGGGCCAAGCAGTTTCTTTTTATTTAACCAATGACCTTCCTC